TTACTCAACATTACTCAACATTACTCAGCATTACTCAGCATTACTCAGCATTACTCAACATTACTCAGCATCACTCAACATTACTCAACATTACTCAACATTACTCAGATGACTCATGAAATAAACTCAATCACATTCAATCAGTCTACTAAACCAAACAGAAATACCTTTAATTAGACCAACAGCTGTGTTGTATAATGTTGGTATATTGATATAATGTTATTAAGCAGTACTTTTTGTTTCTCCATCACGGCGCTATCACAACCTTGAAAACTCGTTTGTGTTTTCAGTTTTTTTTTTATTGTGGTGTAACAACACACCTAAAGAAAGAGTGTGCAGCTGAACAGGGCTGCTGTCATCTCTTAACAGTGTTCAAATACATAAAATGACAAACGTATGAGCTCTCTGTTCTGATTTGGTTTGTTTGCTTGTTTCTCACCAGAGAAACTCGAGCATCTCTGGGAGCACAAGAGGGATGTACCAAGTGTCGGAGAGACGTTCCTCCCCCAGCACAGGGTAGGTCTGCGGCTGCTAAAACAATCCGCCACCTTCACGAATGTAATCCAGAGGGCGAGGGTAGAGCCTCCCATAGTGCTGCGTGACCTGTGTGTGTGTGTGTGTGTGTGTGTGGGTGGGGGGGGGGGGGGGTTCAAAGCTCCTGCAGTGAAACACAATCTGTCCATTACGATCAATCCCCTTCCCCAGCATCCATCGTGCGGCCTTCTGAGGTGCAGCTCTTTGAGTGAAGACCAGAAGTTTTTTTTTTCTTTTGAAGCCTCAAGAACCGACTGAGACCGCTTTAGATCTTATGACGTGCGTTCTGTAGGAAGGTTATGAATAACGAATGTCTTACCTGTTGTAGAAATACAATTTGAAGTTTAATTGTGACCGACGAGCGAACTGCTAGTCTGAATGAGGCAATGAGCAAACCGCATTGCTGCCCTCCTAAAACAACTCCAGTTTTAAAAATGTTTAAACCTTTAAACATAATTTTACAGACCTTGACACTGTTGTCAGTTTTTCATTCAATTCTGCGCTTTTTGTCAACTGTAAATTCAGTAACAGCAGCAGCCAGCTGTTCCAGTGCCTACTGACGCTCCACCAGGAGTATCAAAATATTTCAGCCAGACTAATCACGTAACATGAAATGGACAACAGTTTTTTAAATTATTTGCTCAAAACGTGTAATTTTTGAGGTCAGACTTGTTTTATTCCAGCAGCCTTGGCCTCGTTAGGACTAGCCTTTAGCTCATCCAACGAGCCAGAATTCAACTCTGTCACTCCAAACTGAGGTCGATCAAAGAGCTTTCTACAACAGGTAAGATATTTGTTCATGTTCTAGCAAAAATTAGATGCCATCATGAAATATTTTGCTAACAGACAAACACAGTTGAGTCCAAAAGGTAAAGAGAATGTTTTAAATAAAAATCTTGTACAATCTGTTGGTGCTCACAGCGTGTCGGGGAGGACTCTCTGCTACACCACACTGAGTTGTAGCTCAATACCTGTAAAACTGACAGAGGTATAGTCATTATATAGTGTGCTAAGGTTGATTGGCTGTGGCGGCCATCTTGAACCTATTTGACTTTGAAAGTTAATCAACGGCAGATGTATCTCCATTGATTATTTTCTGAAAATGTCATTGTTTAATGTTGAGTGGTTCATGAGCTATTTTGCTAACAGACAGACAAACTAACACACGTACACAGACGCGTGTGATGAATAGTTGCACATGTGAATATTGCGATAGTTACACACATTACACACACACATGACCGAACCGTAACACTCTAACAACTGTCATCCCCAGTTGGTTTGCGAATGTGTTTCCTGCCGTGACATCAGGCCACACACACACACACACACACACACACACACACACACATATATATATATATATATGAGAGAGAGAGAGAGAGAGAGAGAGAGAG